TATATATATATATATATATATATATATATGATATAAAGTGTTTATGAATTAGAAAATTTTATATTATTATTATTATTATTAAGTTACATGTTGGCTGTATTATTTTATTTATTTAATTAGCTGCCACGGGTGTATGCCTATTAGCAGTTCATATAAATTTATCTTAAGTGCATGAATCGTGAACAATATTGAGATTGTATTATTTATTAACTCGCTCTACATAAGGGTTAGAAATGTATTATTTTCTCTCTTAATGACAGTCTTTGGGATTTTGGTGTGATACCGAGTGACATGAGTGAAAAATATTGTTATTTCGAAAAACGTGTGTTATATTATGTACCCTTAATAGCTCAACGCTTAACAGCTCTAAGCACTTAGTTTTCATTTTTATTTCTTTAAAAAAGAATAACTGTCAATGCTGACTTTATTAAATACCTAATTATTATTCTCACTACTATTCTGTACCGTCGTGTTCCGACTAACCTTGTTCACCGTTGGTGTGAATTCAAAACGATGAACAGTATCACTAAAAGCAGGATTTGTTTTTTTTTTTTAAATACTTCAGTCTGTAAATCAAGAATAAATCTCAGGAGAAAAAGATGTTGTTTTTTTTCCATAATGTACAATTGGCTGGCGTACGGTGTGAGTTTATGCATCCCCATAGCACTATTTCCTAGAGAGTGATTGCATCTACTTTCTCCTGCGCTTGTTACGATATCAATTCGCCGCCCCGCGTAGTCGCCGGTTGCCAATTGGGTTGTGCCATTCTTCGTCATCCGGGCCTAATGAAGTTATATAAAGGGCCGCGGATCGCAAAGCGCCGCCGGGCGCCAGGCCCACACCGCGGCGCGGTGGCCGTTTTTTCTTTTGTCCCCTGCACAGTAACCCTGTGAAGAAGGGGAATTTATTATCTATAAATGTTTTTACATTATGCTGCTGCCTTGCGGCTTAAGCAGCTAGAGGCGGGGCTTTTTCTTACACCGAAGTCTTACATACTAGTCCTAAAATTAACTTACTTGCACTTTGGCATCACGAACTTACACTAAACTCATTTTTGTAATTCTATTTTATATATTCTACGTAAATTGTTTTTGAATATGTTGGTAAATTGTTATTATTATTATTATTTTTCTACATTCACACATCATTCATACTAGCACATCATAGCACATCACACCATAGCTACAGTCACACATCATAGCGCGGTGGTCGCGAGTCAGTCGATTGCGTTAAGGACGCGGATTTCTCCTTGGAACGAGCGAGTCCTTAACGGCCGCCCGCGGGCGCCTGTACCGCCAACGTCTTCACGGTTTTCTTCTTCTTTGTCCCCTCCACAGTAACCCGGTGGAGGACGAACTGTCTGCTTTCAACACATCGCTTAAAACTTGCACAAAGAAATAATGAACAAATGACAGCAGATAAGCGCTCATTATATTAATGTTCTTAAAATTTAATGTTTAAGTTATAAAAAACGGTTAATAATAGCACGTGATAACATATCTAGGGCCCTCTACAATTCGTTTTAAAAAATCGCGAATTGAGTTGAATAAATCACCTCTCAACAAGCCTTCTAGATAACAGTGAGCATGTGTATAGACTGAGGAGAGAGAGTATTTTAGATCTACCATACCGATTTTGTAATTGAAATTTTTCATTGTCATAAAATGTTCACGTCGGATATGTATCTGTTGACACCATTTGCTTATTGTTCCGATAGGAACAGATTGTAAATTATGCAGAAAAAAATTGGGTTGAATACAAAGCTTACACCTGTCTCAAAACGAAAATTATTTGTGTTTTAAAAGTAAAGACCCACGTTTAGTGCATTACACCAAATTTACGTAAAACGTACGCATGTAAACAGAGAGTTCGAAATTTAGTTGTTTATTTCGTCGCAGCACAGCAGCACGGTGCGGATCTTCCTCACCAGATATCCCCCTCATCTAATCTAGAGTCAATGACGTGTGAATAAAAAAAATACCCAAGAAAACAAAAACTATTAAGCCTGAAGAAGAAAACAGTCTTGTGTTAAATCTTAGGTTGCCGGCTTCATCCATAGGTTAAGTTAGAAATAAGTTAGTAAGTAAGTCCTGCCCCCTTTTTTGCCGCATAAGCCATAGAGCTGCGGCGTATGTTGTACCCCAAGAAGAAAATAAACTCCCGCCTCGCCAGGGTTACTGACGGGGGGAAAGTTGAAAAAATATCCCCCTCCAGCGGGTCACCGCCCCAGGCGGGTCAAGCCCTAAGCTCCCGACTCGTCTCCCTACCTTTGTATTGTAGTGTAGTGCATGTGAGTGTAAGTCAGTGTAAGAAAGTGATGAGGATAGAACAAGGAAGAGGAAGAATAGATCGCGCGCGGTCCGTGGCCCGTTTGTTAAGGTACTGCTCGGCATTCACTTGGTGTAAATCGGAGAAACAACGTAAAACTACCAAATAGAGCAGACGGACGCGGAAATTCTCCTCCAGACAGCGACTGAAGTCGGCACAGGTATGTAATTAGTTTCTAAAATCCTGCCACCGTCAGGATTCGAACCCTAGGACCTCCCGATCAGAAACACTGCAGTGAAATCAGTTACTGCCCTGAGCAACCTAAGCCAGTAGTAACAAATTATTTTAAAATAAAACAACTAAATAAACTTGAAAATATTGCCCCTCCCCCCGGTTCCGTGCAACGCCCACGCTCCACGCCCCTTCTCCACTCGCGGACAGCACATTGGCCGATCCGCCCTGACGCGAATAAACTCCACCAGCCGGGTACACTGGCGGGGGCGGGGAGCTAAAAAAGCTTCGTGGAAGGATCGCGCGTCAACTAGACGCCGCCCACGAGCGCCGCGTAATTCTCCACCGCCGTCGCGGCGGCCCGTGAAAGGACTCGCGTAAATCACCACAGCAGCGGCGGCGTCGTTAACTTGAGCGCACGGCACGGAGGGCCTGCCCTTCTGCCCTTGCGCGGGGCGCGAAGGGCTTCGCAGAAACGCTGCGTCGGGGAAGGAAAAGTTTCCGCGAACGCCGACGCGTTTTATGACAAAAGCTGTAAACGTTCGGTGTGTGTGCTCGCGGCTGACGTAACCAGCTTTAGG